TATATAATGTAATAAGGTTGCTGCATAGGCAGTGTCATATAAATGAGAAATCAAACGAAGTTTGTATATCTGCCTCAGAATGAAATAATATTATTGTACGAGCACTTCAAAGGTCATAGGTCATCATCATCAGGTACTGATATTGAAATATGTAAGTGACGAGAATATACGAAAGCAGAGCACATAGAATGTCGGCAAATGAAAAATCAAAACAAAAAAGCTTTTTTTGTTTATTTTTGTTTTGATTTGTCTTGCCATTCCAGTTTGCCACTGCCATGTAATTCTGACACTGCCATGCTTACCTCTATTGTGAAATACATTTAGAAAACATAATCAATCAGTCAATATTGTAAATCGCCAGATGCTCGTCCTATTTCCGGGTAATGTATCGGTCCTTAGTGTTTTTCGCAGCACAACTCAGTCTCAAGCCTTCAGCAACCCATTGTGCTGTGATAATGCTAACATTTGACACAAAAAGATGTAGAGAGTCCATCACAGCACCGGTAACACATTCTTAACAAGATAATTGACTTTCATCTAAAAAAAATACAGACATTAACATCATACATTAATTGAACTGTACAATTTACATCGGCTTTAGACCGCTCCCTATTAGTTAATAATTCCTTGTTTGCGTATCTCTATTGGCATACGGCCAAGACAGCATCCAGCAACAGCAATCATGTGCTTAATCATGTGTGTATTTGAACAGGCCAATTATTATGCATAACGGTTTTAGGTCACCTATATTTGGAACATGTCATGAAAGTATGAATGTCGATTGAAAGACAAAATCTATGCAACCTATTTTGTCCAAGAAAAAAATGGCGTACGTGAGTGGATCTGGCGGTATGTGTGTTCGTGTGTGTGTGTGGGGGGGGGGGGGGTTGTTAAGTGGTGTATCACCCACTAATGTGACAGTCAACCACTAATGTAATATTAACCACTGTTGTAACAAAAATCAACCACTAATGTAACATTAACCACTATTGTAACAAAAATAAACCACTGTTGTAAATTCATTAACCACTATTGTAACAACGATTTAAGCACTTTTGTAACAAAAATCATTAACCACTATTGTAACAACAATTTAACCACTAATGTAACAACTTACAATATATATGGGCGTCGATTGGTGGGGGACAGGAGGACGCGTCCCCCCACTTTTCAAAGTGGGGGAAGACATCATATCGATTGTTCCCCTCCCCCTTTTTCACCAATCTTCTATAAGTAAAACCCCACTTTTACAAGCGAATGGAAAGAATAACAATTACGCATGACTCATGAATTTTGTCTGTTCACTTTTCAAAGTGCGGTACGTATTTTCCGGACCAAAACCAAGTAAAAACGGAATTGTTTAAACATTTTGTAACCATCTCAGAAACCCACTAGATCGATTCTATGGGTGCAACGACTATCAGAGGCTAAATTTATTGTGAAAACAATGTACTGAACGTTGTTGAATTGTAAGCATGTATCCTTATTAGGCCAATATTTTTACAAACTCAAAAGTGCACAATTCCTAATGTAAACGATTTATTCTTTTTGTATATTATTATGACCCGGACGTATATACTAGTGTTTAATATTATCTACATACATAGGATTACTGTCTACCTATTTCGATTTAGTGATAAGCCTACCAAAAGTTTACAAACTCCAGTGTTACGTTGACGCAGTCTCGCAATGACGCCATAATAATCAGTGGCAGAGCCGGCCCTATTTTTTTCAAAATTATTTTTTTTAAATGGAAAAAAAAAACAAAGGAAAATTAGAATTTAGGTCTGAGAGTGCCATTTCCGGCAATCTAGAGGTGTCATAATCATAAATTTTCTTTCCTCAGCCCCAACCATGGTGGGGATGAGGTGATCTACTTTTCAAACGTGCAAGTCCCTCCCTGTCCCCCTCTAATTTGCATTCCTGGAGCCGCCACTGATAATGATAAATTAAGTAAATCACCTTTATGTTTGTGAAATCAAAATGCTAACTAATGTTTTGTGTGCTCCCTATCTCCCTAGTCCTGTTTGATCGTAAATTAGACGTTATTATTTCCATTCACAATAATTTATCGCAATATTACTTACACAAAAGTGAAATTCAAAAAGAGGAGAAAAGCAAAAACCTCTTGATTGACTTTAAAAGTACTGTACCTGCAAAAAGACTAAATTAATGTCTGTTTTAAGTTTATCTTATTTGTTTTTCATAGTTCGAATTTTGAATACGTTACAAGCTAATTGCTGCGAAGCAGCCAATTCATATTCTTGACAGCAATTTGACCTCTGAAAGGTCATTGTTTGTCAAAAAACAAGGGCCTAAGACGACTGAAAGGCGGAGTTTCTTTCTTTCGTTCTGCCGGGTAAAATCAATTACTTTAGGCGACGTTTGTAGACTAAGCAACACGTACCAACGTCCGCATGTCGCGCTAGCCTTATCCTACTCTAGGCCTAGACTAGCTAGGATGGTATATGCATAGCCTTGAAGGGACGAAGGTCCCGATGAAAAACAACGTCGCTCCTTGATAGCTAACATTGTCTATTTAACATCACATTTAGACCTATAGTTGTTTTTTGAATTGTACTCCACAAGTCTCAGCCGATACCTCGCACAACTCGAGTAACGTCTCGCATCTATTGTCGTGACGTCACGGCTCGCTGGCTCACACTTGAATTGCGATGTCTCGCACTTGTGATCAAATAACACGCTGGCTCGCACTTTGGCAACACTCTTTGGCAGTCAACTCGCCCCTAGAAAACCCGCCCTTGGAAACTTGCCCCATAAAAAAATGTACACTTCTAGACCATGCAGTCTTCAAAATAAAAATTGTAACCTTTGGTAATCAACTACATTTTCCACATACATAGAAATTTTTGAAACTTTATTAAAACAAACCTAAACCATAATTCACCACTATAGACACTTTTTGACAAAAATGAAAAATTACGACTTTGTTACCCAATGAGAAGTGTTCTAATATAGACAATGGGTCGTGTCTCATATTATTTGTTATATTTTTATTACCATATTCATTATTTTCACTTGACTCGCATAAATAATTTTGTTCGAAGAACATTTATATGCAGTTGTACTTCGCAGCACTTCACTTGCAATTTGCAATTTCTAGTCAGTAGATAATAAATCATTATTTTTATGAATGTTAGTTTGCACGAAATATATAAGCGGGCATAATTATGACTAAAAAGGATAATTTTAAAAACTGTTTATGATGAGTATTTCAGTGGCAGATTTAAGGGGCACAGCCGGCCCACCAACACTATTTTATTTTTTTTTTTATTCGAAATTTAAAAGTGGAGAAAAATTAAAATTATATTCAAATTCAGTCTGAGAGTACCATTTCCGACCAACTGGAGGTGCCATAATCATAAATTTTCTTACCTCAGCCCCAACCGTGGTGGGGCTGAGGTGGTAGTCCAGCTACATCCTCCATCTGTAAAAGTCCCTCTCTGGGCCCAGCTCTATTTCACATTACTGGATCCGCCACTGGATATTTTAAAAATTACGTATGGAAATAATGTTAATTGCATTGATTAAAATCAATTAAAAGGCTTCTGGGACTTCGCTCCCCTCCCCCTGGTCCCCAACCATTGCTTGGGCCTACGTCCCAAGGCTTTATTTTTCATCTCGTCCTCCCCCACCCCCACTTTCAGCCACGGATCGACGCCCTTGCAATATATAGTAGTCGCCGAAACCTTATGTACATTGTCATATTAAAAAACACATTTCACGTTTTATGATGGTTGTGGAATTTTTAAAATTCCACAAGGTCAGATTTTGAAAAAGGTCTGAAAACAAGCCCAAACTGGATAGGGATAGTCTCTGTGACATTGTAAATATTAGTAAATATTTTTTCTTAAATTGAAGGTCAAAGGTCATGAAAGGAAAATCTTTTATAAAATGATAGGCTCTTTATAAATGTTGTGACTTTTGATATAGATGTTAATGGTTAGATTTTAAAAATGGTCTGAACAAGCCCAAATTGCACATGAATGGTCCTAATTAGGTTACTAAGGCAACGCCGGGTAAAAAAAGGGGCACTAATAATTTGAATGGAAATTATTCCTTAGTGGTACTATAATTTTTCGAGTAAATAAATGCCTAGTTATACTAAAACGATAACGATTAACGATAGAAATTATTTTTATATTTATTTATTATTATATTTATTTTAAATATTTTTTATACACGATATTTTTTTTAAATGGAAATAATTGGGGTTTTTTTTTTTGGTTTTGTTGTTGTTGTTGTTGTTATTGTTGACTGTTATTTTCAAAATATAAACAGGCCTTAATGCATCACCATACTGTCAGGGTTTGGTTAAATCAAGTCTGAAAGTGTAAATTGATATGTCATCAGAATACAGTTTTCTCCATACTTCTCCATGTCTGTTGGTTAGTCAGACGGTCCCTATTACGTTTAACATGCTATTTTCCCTATTTCTGTTAGTCGTATTGGTTTAGTATTTAGTAGAGTTTCTCACAGATTGGATGGTCATTCCATCAATCAGTCGGTTGACTTTTGCAGCCCCATTTCATTAAATAATACTTTTTCGCCCCTTCACACTTCACTATCTGGTTATATCACATCTTTCCTTTGTATTGGCTTGTGATGGTATCTGTGACGCAGTGGGGATGTATGCACGCAAAAATAAGTAGAAGACAAATAAAATATTCAAAAATAACATTTAATTAATCAATTTCCTAATTTCGTGTTCTCTGTCCATACTATGCAATATATTTTTGTTACGTGACCAAGATAATGTGACATCAGCGTCACGTGTTCATTAGAATATACAGTAACATGATCTATTTGAAACCTTAATTCTATAATATTGGTTAGACTACAAGTTTAGTTTATTTTATATTTTTCGAGTTGCAATTCTCAACAAAGGTGGACATTTAACTCTCATGGTGGCAAACATATCGAATTTGTCCCGATGATAAGATGTTGTTCACTAAATCTTAATTTTGGTTCATAAGTAGTCTATAATAATGTTATGCTTGGTCTCTATTCCTTGGAACAAGTAAGTCAACAAAATGTGTGATGTGCACTTATAAAAATGAGACGTTCATAGGAAATCTATGTTTCCTACTGCTACCACAGGTCTACTACCATTACTAAGTATTATTATTATTATTATTATTATTATTATTATTATTATTATTATTATTGTTGTTGTTACTAATATTTTTAGGCACAAGCGCCAAGAATATGCCAATAAGCAAAATATTATCTTTTTTTATGTTATTATTATTATTACTAATACAGTATTATTGTTATTATTATTATTATTATTATTATTATTATTATTATTATTATTATCATCATTATTATTATTATTATTATTATTATTATTATTATTATTATTATTATTATTATTATATTGGACATGGGACAGTAATTCTCCTAAATTGTTTACAAACATTAACTAAATTATTGTAGGGTTCACGGGGGAGGGGCATTATGGCTTAGTATGGTCCAAAATGTGCTTTTAGGCCACAATATTAGGGATTGGCAGTCAAAATAGGCTAACGTTATTTGGATAGGAAAATTTTTTTTTCCGACGACCCAGACGTACGTCAGACGACAGGAGGTCCAGGCCTATCCGACGGAGAAGAAGATTCCCCTCCCCTCCCCCACCACTACTGCAAAGCATCTCGTAAAATAACCTCTAAAATATACAAAAGAAACATTTCTTTTCATACAGACGCATTTAATAAAAAATAAACATTTCTACATATAAACATGGATTAAAAATTCTTGTATCAAGCCTAGTTTCAATCTGGACGACTGTGCATCATTGAATTAAAACCTAAAGGTGAGGGAGTGGGAGAGGTACAAAATGCAAGGAAAGTCAATGCCGCATCAGGAACAGAAGTTAGCTTAAGTGCAGGTGGAAGAGAGTTCCATAATTTCGGAGCAGCAATCTAAACTTCGCCAGATACGGACATGCGTCGATCCTGGACCCCATCGGTGCCCTTGGCGGTCGCGGTCCCGGTTTCCCAGCTTAAAATGCTCGAATAGCTCCAGTGTCGGAACCTTTAGCTGCACCCGGTTGGGCTGATCCTGGACGTCATCACAAACAACACAAAGTGAGTTCTGAAGCTTTTGCAGAAGCTTTAATTAGATAGGCCCTAGCAGAATTCCCACAAATCATTGTTTTTAAAACTAAAATAAGCATGGAGTGATTCAGCAGCGGAACGTAAATTTTATAAGATGAAAATACAGTATCCAGATTTACAGACAAAAGAAATATATAGAAGGCAAAATGACTGTTAAACATATTGACGACACCCTCTAGATACCATAATTAAGAAAATTGAATAGCGGTCCTTGTTTTATGTTATGAATGCGAATTCTTTTTATTGAATATGAACGACAATCTTATATCGGTCCTTTTATAAAATTATGACTAGTGAGCCTTTTTCTTCATTTCGACTACCGAAACTTATGAGTAGCCTAGGCCCTAGCCCTTATTTTATGAAGAGAGCGAACCCTTTTCTTGATTATGATTGGTAATACTCTAGTATAAGGGTAAGACTAATGTTGTGATACTTGAACCTTATGAATATTAATCTTATGGCAGCGAATTTGACTAAGTTTTTGAGCCCCTCCAAAGCAAACAAATTTCACATCCTGTAACCAACCGAAAAGCGAATATTTAAATTATAAACTATAATAAATTATAAGTTTGTAGTATATACGTTTTACCAAGGAAGGCGATGAAGTACATAAATTAAAAAGGACAATGAGAGACAATAAACAAATCAAGTGAGTATCGTTATTATTATGTTATGTACCTGTTTAATTACAGGAAGTAGGCATAAAAGGATTTCCAATACAGTACTTATTGTAACGAGTAGGGAAAAAACAGGCATTGCTGGCATCAATGAGCCGCCACGGACGGTCTGGAAAAACGTTGGTAATTACCATATAATTAAAATGTTGCGACCAGACTTAGTCTCGTCCACATGTTTCCTACATGCCATTGCCCTAGCTATTAGGAGTCCTACCATCGTTATATTTAATTATTCATTTTACTACAGTTTATATTATTATACAATTTAGTGATGTAACACAACCCATCAGAAACTAGCTCAGTTAGGAACTTGATATTGTACTTATCGGAGTGTACTATCTAATACTTTCTGCCATATAGGGAGGCCTTAATCAGAGTGTTTCACTGATTCCATAAGAGAAACTCAACTCGCCACCTATCAGGAGTATTTGTAAGTGCGTTTTAAATCTGATTTGTTTCTATTTAGCTTCGATGTATTGTATATAATTATAATAGTTTAACTTTTTTATTTTTGTGACAGCTATTTAGGAAAAATATTATTATTATTATTATTATTATTATTATTATTATTATTATTATTATTATTATTATTATTGTATTATTATATATCATTATTATTATTATTATTATTATTATTATTATTATTATCATCATTATCATCATCATCAGTATCATTATCACGATCGAAAGTTATATAGTTATTGTTATTAGTGATTTAATATTATTATTGTTGTTTATATTATAATTTTTATTGTTGTTGTTATTATTTTTGTATTATTATTTATTATCATTTTGTATTTATACAGTTTACCGGTACATAGTGTTGTTTTCTGTGTGTATTGTCATTATCATTACTCAATACAAATTTTTGTACAACAATCGATTAACCAACCAGGGCATCAAGGTGAGTATGATATTTTTTTACAAAAATATAACATTGTTAATTAAAATTAAAGATGAACTTGGATTTGGATTTGGTCAGTAAAATGACAATGATTGAATGGTGATATGTAGGCCTAATTAATACATTTTGAGAACAACGTATGCCTCCGTTGTGTAAGGCTTCCGATACCGTTCGGATGGATTCTAACAATGAATGAGGGTAGTCACTTCTTAGCGGTCACAACAGCGAGGTTCACTATGCATATTTATGAGCTACATTTTTCAACCGTGGCTTATGCATTATTCATAAGCGAATTGAGGGGAATGTACAATAGCTGAGAAATGGAGCACAGTGCTGCCGTTACCTACTGTATCAATAAACTATGATATATGTCATGTACTACTGTATCAATAAACTATGATATATGTCATGTATTTGTGGCTTGTCGAACCCTGGTAGTAAGCTTGGAGATTTAAGGTAATGATTCAAATAGGAATTATCTTTAGTTTCATCAACCACTGGTGTTTCCTCTTGTCAAATTTTATAGTTTATACATACAATTGTCATTGTATATACATGTATGTATTGTATGTATATGTATTTATTTATAACACCACAACAGTTTTCAAGATGTATTTACTGTTTGTTGTTACAAACACACACACGCATATATATCTTCTGCTACGTTTAAATAATTATATATATAATATATATATATATATATAATTTTTAAATTATATATATAATTTAAACATATTATATTATATATATATATATATATACTGTCTCTTATACACATCTAGATGTGTATAAGAGACAGTCAGTTGTCTAACCCGCAGGCACATAAAAGGCAGTTTCCACTAGACTTTCGTGACATATATATATATATATATATAAGAAGATATTATAAATTAGTCCCTACCTTCTTTGGTATATGCTTTGTCAATGTGTTCAATGACACATTTGGAAATTGTTTCCTTCTCATACGCTGAAATTGCGTGTGCCATTTCAATTTCAGAGTTCACCATTACGATAATAATATTAATATTCCTACTGTCTGCACTGTATTTACGTTTTGTTGGAATAAAATCGCCATCGTCCTCGGAATTCATCTTCATAATTTCTGGGGTAGTCTCGCATGTAACAGAACGATATACAACATTTTAAAGTTTCGCGGCAGCCTAGTTACCTTAAAATTTATGCATTAAGCGATAAAGCGATCGAGCGTGTCGAACGGTTTGTGGTAATACATATTCATAAAACCTCGCTGTTGTGACCGCTAAGAAGTGACTACCATGAATGAGCCGGAGGCCAATGAAATTCGTATTTCCCATTTGGACATGACACGAAAATAACTCCATTGAATGATGATAATAAATATTTGTACTCACCCTTGCACTGGGATAATGTTGATTATAATATTATTATTGATAATACTATTATTTTAGTTTAGGCACTGCATAGAGGTTTTTTTTATTATACATCCATGGATAAATAATATTGTCGATAAATACAAATGTGGGCGCTACCATCTTTTAATGGGAAATAAACGCAATGTTGTACTTCTTTGTGAATGTTATTTTGTGTAGTCAGTTCTGTGTATTTAATCAAATAACATTCATAATATATTTGGTTAAATGTACTTGGGAAGATTTTATTTATGAACACATTAACAAAAATATTTTTAATTTGCTTACAGTTTCTAAACCACCCTTCTTAGGTCATGGAATAATTTCCGGACTCAAGGTTCACACTGCTTTGTAGAACGACATCAACGACTCCCATTTAATTTTTGTTTCGATGTAAGTATCATTAATCCTTATATCTCTATTTCTTGTACTATTATTGTATTAACTTTTCATATTACAGCACCAGGATGAATGTTTTTTCTTCTTTCTATGTTTTAATACCGTACCATAACACTTCTCTACCGCTGATATTGGTCTGTTTCAATTTAACGTACGTACATTTGCTGATTTTTTGTGTGAGCTGATCCCTTCTGTGAACTTTGAACTCTCAAACTGCATTTTATTTTTACAACAAGGAGGCGATACAGTAAACAGTAAAGCCTGGTTTTTACACTGTCGACAGTGCTTTCAGTGCAATTGTTGTACTGCGTAGCAGTCGCCGACGTAATCAGGGAGGCTCCCGTTTCGACGACCAATCAGCATCACTAAAAGCTGTCGGCTGTATTGTGTAGCCATTGTATGGAAACCAGGGATAACATTTTTGCTCTCATCAACTTCCGTGTTCATCTATTTGAATACTTTCAACTGGCTATTCTGTGTTTCTAGGTTGTACATTGATGAAAGGGCACATTTGTTTAACAAACCTATAATGATTAAGCATTGTCATTTAATTTTAAGGTTGTTTTCAACAAGGAAAATTGATTTCAACAATAGCCGTGGCCATTTTCTTCACTCGTACAAAACCCAAGGGCACAGCCAGTGGGGGGGGGGGGAGGTCAGGGGTCATGACACCACCGCCCTGAAATTTAAAAAGCAAATATAAAAACATTATCCACAGTAACTAAAGGACAATGCAACATCATCATCATCAGCAACATCATCATCGATGGGGGTGGTGGTGGTTGAAAAATGTTGTCAACTTTGATAGTCTCTTCATCTTTAGGTTAAACTAAAAAACGGAGTTTTGTCCAATGAAATACGTAATTACAACTACAAATACGAGGCGTTGTCTAATAATACGCGTGCGTACAGCACTGGGTATGGAATCGACGACGATGATGACCCACCTCAATCTAAGAATTTGTGCCAACGAGAAATTCCATACCCAGTGCTGTATGCACGCGTATTATTAGACAACGCCTTGTATTTCATTGGAAAAAAACTCTGTTTTTTAGTTTAACCTAAAGATGAAGAGACTATCAAAGTTGACAACATTTTTGAAGCCGAAATGCCAACGCCAAGAAGCTACTAAATAATTGATTTCTGTATCGGAATGTAATTTAGGGGCTCAGCCACAGGGGGAGGGGGCGGTCAACCGGGTGTCCTGATCCATTTCATATTAATCAACATTTTAAAAAATATCCCGATTATAGTAGTAAATGATCGGTAATGTAAAAAAAATATAATATATGAAATAATAAGCCACCCTCCTTTTATTTGTGATTTACAGAGTAACTGATTGACCCTTGCGTCTGACCCGGCCTACACGCCACATATCATCTAATCTCGAATGTTATACGTATAAAAATAATTAAAGTTGCAATTAAAAAAAACAACATTTGTTACAATCACGGTAACTCACTGGTTAATACCTGTACCGAGGTAGCAAATGAATGCACTGTAATTTATTACAGTATTATCTGGTATAATCAGGGATGAGTGCAAATCAACTCTTACAGTTTAACCTCCCTTAAAGTCTATTTTCATAATGATCCAGTTTGTTCTTCCTGTCTAATCAGTACAGTGCGACCACCTTTTGACTTTAAAATAGGGGGCCCTATTTGATTTATTGTAATTGAAGCTCGCTCTCCCCCCCCCCCTCTCTCTCTCCTCTCCCTCTTTTTTAAATCTTTCTCCTCTTTTTTAAATCTTTATTAATTTATTCAGTATCGGAAAAATACATAATGCAAAATACTGGTACACAATATTAACCCTTATAAGCCCGAGCTGTAAGCTGCAATACCGAACAGACTGAATATAATATAATAGAATACATTAATACGTGTCATTAAGTTGGTAAAAAGTATTTATGTAAACGCATTACAAAAGAAACGCATCTCTCGAGACGGCGAGTAGAGGTTTTCCCCCACCCGGTGCTGTATTATACGTTACCGTACTGCTACGTCAGCTGGTCCTTATGATATAATATTTTGTATGTATCTCATTGTGCATTACTGTACAATAATTTCTTGTATCTTGAATATATCGTTTTTGTTTTTTAAGAATCGTCAAGCCGTGGATTGTTTCTATCACCCAATCTCAAAGCCTAAACCTCTACTGAGTTTTCATAAGGTAAGGAGAGGTATTTTCCATGTTCTGGCCCTCACAGCTTGATCCATCTTCAGCTTAATATACAAATTTCAGAGTCAGTACACCGGGGCATTATTTGCGAGATAAAAAAGGGTTGGTGACAACCACTTTTCCACCACTTCAACACTCATTTGAAAAACAGAATATTTTGTTCAGTAAATCCAATGGGGAAAAAATTAGGAATAAAAGCATTTATGTATGATTAATAGGCCTACGAACTTCTGATTGAAACCCAAGCTTACTATTTCTGTTTGGGACGTGGTGGGAGAGGAGTGGTTAACAGAGTAGGGCCTAGGCCTACTGCTTGGCTATGGTCACTATAAAAACCTATTAAAACCATTAAAAATAAGTAAATCACGCTTTCTGTTGGCAACTCACAAATTACAGATTGTAATAAAACTGTTTTTGTTTTTAATCTCCCAACTGTTTAAATGCTGCAAAATACCAACAATTGAATCAGTAAATCAATATAAATCATGCATTTTGAAGTTTATTGCAAGTTGGTTAAAAATGTCGATCCTCGAAACGATACAGATTTTTATACCTCCAGATTACTATAGAGGGCGACATTACGTTTTGACCATCTACTCTCTTGGTGGCTGGTTGTGAGTTTCGTACAAAAAAAATGTGAAATGGTTTCTACTGTTTAGTTTTCTTTGCAAAGAGTTCCTACGCCTAATTGAAGTTGCGTTGTGCCAGCTCAGCAGTATGTCTGAATTGAATTGGTCACGTTTGGTGGTTTCACATTAGGCGCTAGGCTAGGCCTAATGCCTAGCCTAGATTAATTGTATTCTCTAGCTCTAGGCCTAGGCATAACCCCGACATGGTGAGGCACAGGCCTAGGCCGGCCCCCCCAGATTGTGAAAAAATAAAAACTAAAATAAGGTGTGCGCGGGGTATATAACTTCCGTGCAAAAACTAGGGTGGGCAAGGCCTACATCCGTCCTCGCACAAGAAAAATAAGAGCCGATTTCCGCGCAAATATTGCCGAAAATAAAGCTTTGCCCTATCTCTTAAAGTTAATATGAACTAATGTACTGTATTATATCAATTTATATTTAGCAGCAGTTACGATTCTGCTGTGCACTTTATTTTCTCGCAAATTTGAGCGAAGGCCTTAGATTATGATAGTTTAGAAGTCTACTACTAGGCTAGGGCCTAGGCCTAACTATGCTCAGGGGTGGCACCAGTTGGAGGGGGAGGCCAGGGCCACCTTTTGGTGAGACCCCCCATCCCTGGTCGGGGAGAAAAAGCACAATTTGTCGGGGAGAAAAAAAAATTATGTATTTTCTACATAGGCTATCTGTACACTCTAAAATCGATTAAGTATAAAGCCTTTGAAACCCCCTAAATTGTCAAAATTTTCAGGTGCTTCGCCCCCTGAACCACTTTTGAAACTTTTTAACCGATGCTCAACCAGGCCCACTTTGCTTTCGTCTGGGAAATAAGACCCCTCGTCAGGAGCATCGGGTTCCGGCCTTATTTTCCAAAATGGGCAGATGGATTTCTAGGCCTAATTTTTGCACGGAGGATTCCTAGTGCAGGCATTACAGTTTGATATTTTTGTATTTTTAGAATATGAATGAAGACAAGCTTGGGAATGCACCAGGCGGCTATCCTCGTGAACTTCTGAAAGACAAGTCTGATTTGACTGAGCGCATTATCTGTGGAGTGTGTAATCTAATTCTGAGAGATGTAGTCCAACATGAATGCGGGCATCGCTTTTGCAGTCCCTGTGCCCAGAAATTACAAAGGTAATGTTTTTTATTGTGATTTAAACTTTGTCCACATATTCAATTTTTATATGACAAATGTGTGTGCTGTGCCTATACCGTAAAATTTTGAATTGAAGTTCTGGGCTTCTTTTGTTTTTTTGCAATCTTCGGATTTGCTTCTTTTCGAATTTGGCTTCTTTTCGAATTTGGCTTCTTTTCAAGATGGGCTTCTTTTCGAGACTACTTTTCAAAATGAATTTTGGCAGGCAGTGGAGTTCAAATCAAGGGGCCAACTAGAGAATTCAACAATGTCCAAAAATCGAGGTAGTGTTCTTGGGGAGAGTTTCTTTAACTTTAGTTTGGCCCAAAATTGTGTTTCACAATATTAAGGTAGATTCACTCCGAATTCGGTTTGTATAATGTTGTCGATGCGCATCTTAGTACACGCTTCTATTCTTTACCACTGATTTGATTTTCTTTTTTCGTTTCGTTAGCCATACAAACCGAATTCAGATTCGGTGTGAATGCAGCTTTAGTGATTGATAATCAAAATAACATTTTGACCTTGTCGGGACGGATGGCCTGCCCCATGCCCGTCCTCCCCCTCTGGTGTTAACACTTGGCTTAGTACTTACACATTCAGCTTATTGAAAATATGAAACAAATTTGAAATTATTTCTTTTTTTTTGTAGTTAAGTATCAATGGCTTATTATACTGTTTTTTTATTACAGTACTGTACAGTATTTGTATAGTGCCTTTCCTTTAGGTTACAAATACAAAGCACTTTTTCCTACTTGTTATTGGGTCCACATGGTAAAGTGTTGCTGCCATATTGGCGCAGTCCCATGCAAACCTACCAGGTATCCATTTACAGTATACTCCTGAGTAGAGAGATGCAATGCAGATACAGTGCCTTGCTCAATTACACAAGCGAAATACACAGCGAGAGATTGAAAACCCCAACCTTCAGGATGGAAAACCAAACTGTTCCTGCTGCACCAAAACTGCTTCTACTAGTTAACTTTGTATTACCTTAAAATTAAAATAAGGAATGTGACCATATTTGTATGTTTTTCATGCAGTATTTAATTATTTATTTTAAGGATTTTTGGAGTAAACTGTCTGTATAAAAATATAAAGTGATTGCAAGTTTGTAAATTACTGTATTCAACAATACAATTTTTATAATTTAATTGTTGAGATTTTCTTTCAAGGGATGTTGAACATTACAAATCTGTGATTTTTTAACCCAACAGTGACCCACAGCCTCAATTTTGCCCAAGATGCCCTAGAGATAGCCAAGAAGCCTATATAAGGAAAGTAAGTACTGTACAGGTGGCTGTCTGCATCCACCAGTAAAATCCACCAAGAATTTACCTTAATAAAATTTTAGCTTATAGTTGACTCTTTTTGGCTTGAGCATGTCCATTCGAAAATCAGCAAAATTTAAAGAAACAAATGTACTTTGACTTTTCGTAAAATAGTAGCACACTGTATGGCTTTTCCTAAGAACCGATGTTCTTAGGAAAAGTAAAAGAAAGTAACATTAAAAACCTATTTTAACGCTACCAAAATCCGGGATTTGAAAACAGTGGGTGCTGAACCTTACACAGTGCGCAAAACTAGGGACAGAGCGTCTTTCAATTGCACTGCAAACACTTACAAACTGTTTGTTACTGGTAACAGGAAGATTGTCAACAATCTCAATCAAGATATTTTGATTTGGAAATATTCGTAAGTTGTATAATAATAATAATAATAATTTTGGCTTCTAGAGGGCATTATGGTAAAGCTAATTACCATAATGCATAAAGTTAATGAAAATAAAAATGCTAGGAGAAATTTAAGAAAAGTACATGTTTAAAAAGGTGAGTTTTTAAAAGCTGCCTTAAAATCAACAATGGACTAATAGGCAAAGCATTCCAAAGAAAGACAGAAGCCCAAGAAAAAGAATAATTGCCGTAATGCTTTATTAACGAGTGAATAGAATGAGCAAGTAGAGACTCTGAACTAGTTCTTAGAGACCTCTTAGGAATATAAGGAAAAATTAGTTGTGAAACAAACATTGGCGAGGAATTAGAAGAGATTTAAAAATAAATAACAAAATCTTGAAAGTGATTCTCTGTGTTACAGGAAGCCAATGAAGGTGTATGTATCTGATTTTTGTGGTATGTACAGTACTGATCATTGTATTATAATCAATTAGCGGTTGCTCAATCAAGTGTTTACCATACCCAGTTTAACTGCATAAGAAGATTTTGAACTCATTCAACAAAGTGTCCAAGGCAGCAATTTTTGCTATTGATATAGATTGAGAAGACATGATTCCTTTTAGTCCCGGAGCCAGGGGCCATTTATTTGCATAAAATGACCACATGTTTAGTTGGTATTTTTGGAAAAGTCATTTCGTGTGGGTCTCGAACCTGCCTGTCTGACGAAACATTACTGCTGGAATAAGGGGTCAGAGGTCAATAAACGTCATTGCTGGTAAATTTTACTATGCAATAATAATCGGGAATATAAAACATATAATATATCAAATACAATTATGTTGCACATTATATGAAAGCTTATGAAATATCTAGTGATACCAAACTTGTTTTTGTATCTTCTTGTTTTAAGTACGTTTTTGTGGGAAAAACACAGTTTTTTTTGGTCAAAATTTGATATTTTTTGTTTTCTAATATATAATAATAATAATAATAAGGTAAGAACTTATATAGCGCCATTTAAAAAACAAAAGTGATTATCAGCGGCGCTTCATGTTATTGTTGGAATAAGTGCGTTTTGAGTGATTTTTTAAATAAAGCAATTGGTGTTGATTTTTTAATGTGAAGTGGTAGTGCGTTCCAGAGTGTGGCTGCAGCAAATGAAAATGATCTGTGTCCGAAAGTCTTAGTGTTGGTGCGAGGGACAGAAATTAAATTGAGATCAGATGAACGTAGGGAACGGCCAGGCACATATTTGGGAAGAAGTTCATTAATGTAGGGGGGTTGATTGAGAGTCAATGACTTATAAGACGGTAAAAGGATCTTATATTGAATTCTGGCATCAATTTGCAACCAATGCAGTTGACGTAAAATGGGGGTTATATGAGTGCGTCTGTTAGTAAATGTTAGTATGCGTGCAGCAGAGTTTTGTAGTCGTTGAAGCCTGTTAATTTGGATTTTAGGAATGTAAAATAAAAGAGAGTTGCAATAGTCAAGTCGGGAGAAAATGAAAGCGTGAATAATCAGAGCCGTAGTTTGTTTTGATAAGTATTTTCTGATAAGTGCTATATTACGTAGATGAAAGTTAACAGATTTTATGAGTTTACCAACGTAATTTTGCATGGAAAGCTTGTCATCAAATGTGACGCCAAGGTTGGAAATGGTAGAGGAAGTTTTAATGATAGATGAGCCAATATGGAGTGAGTTGATGTTAATTCTTGAGCTAGATTTATTAGTGCCGAAGATGATGAATTCAGTTTCATTTTCGTTTAGCATAAGCATGTTACGAAGATGATGAATTCAGTTTCATTTTCGTTTAGCATAAGCATGTTATTAGACAGCCAATTGTGGATGTCGTGGAGGCAGGTTTCGAGACTAAATGAACAGACTAAATGAACAGATAATTCAACCATTCTTTCTCAGAATTCGACAAAAATATATGATTGTGACATTGAAACAAAAATGGTAGACTGAAACCATATGCTTGCTGAGTATACTTAATTTTAAGTTCTAACACTCAAAAATAACAAAAATATCAAAATATTAGCAAAAAATCAATATAGGTGATATGCATCGAAGGGAAAATGGCCAAACATAGATATGTTGCACCTTATCCGAAAGCCAATTGTATGTCCGATCGAATGCCATCAACCATATTACCATTAGGTATACTTCCATGATATTTTTTGGGTAAAAACCTGATTTTATATATTATTATTATGTATATTATTGGTTTATTTTAGGCATTCTAGCCTTTGACGTGGAACAAATAGCAAACAAAGTTGATTCTTGATTTAAATAAACTCGTATAAACATGTGAAGGAATAAAATTCCAGAAATGAAACATCGGTCACATGCCCCATGCAAATTAGTTCAAATATGCAAAGTAGAATAGAAATATTAGAAATCACAAATATCTTGGAAAAGGCTAGTCGCAGAGTTTAGCCTTCTTTTCCAAATTGTCCAGGGCTAAATGTTTTACTTATCTAATGCAACATTTGCTCCAAAAACGACAGGAAATGCCTCATTTGATGGTTAATGGTTAATGGTTATTAATTTATAGAGCGCAAAATACATTTGAAATTTGACCTAAATTTGACATTTGACCTTTAGCTACAGGAAATTGCCCAGTTTTTCAATTTTCATACAAGTTATTCCACTACAAACACTCTCAGAATGTAAAATTATGTGGCAGAAAGGGATACAGTAATTCAGTTTCTCCAACTAAACAAACTCTCCAATCTGACTGGTATGTGTTCCCGTTAATTCCAAATAATGGTTAATCCTAAAAGTATGAATCCTACTACTGGTTAATCCCGGCTACCCTCACCAGAGAAGCATTAAATAATGTCTACAGTCGACTAAAGCTCCCAGCAGAAGGATGGGATTTAACAGAAGCAAAAGGGGACAGCGCTATAGAGCATTTCACAATCCCTGATGAAGGTTCGATATATATAATCACTGGAATATTGTGTTATTTATTTATTTATTTATTTATTACAAATTCGACAAAAAATCAAGAGGAAACCATGGGCCAAGGGCCCAACACAAGTGGAATTTCTTTAAATATTGATATGAGTGATTATATTAATTTGGATTTGAATTTTGAAAGTATCGTTAGAAGCTTTGACAATTTCAGGGAAGAATGGTGTCAGCTTTTCTTTTTTCTATTTTTCTGCAATCTTGTTTACAAACATCACTGCTATTGTGTAAATCATGAATGATATACCCGAACGGTCGAATAGAAACTAAAAGCAACACGAATTTGAGTGCAATGAACCAAGATTTAATTAAAGAAATATCAGACATGTTTCTTCACATCACACAGATATCATCAGTGAACAAAATAAAACATAACAAAAGAATGTACATTACTTATATACTGTATTCTGATGAGATAGTAGATTGAAATTCAGGTGATTAGGTATTTGTGTCAACTCTAAAAAGTTACGTGGCAGATTGTTCCATTATATGCATAGAGTGATATTGTAATGCTGCACTTGTTTGTTGAGTGATGGCTCAGTCCTTTTAATATGGAGCGGCTCTTTAATTTTCAGTTGGAAACTGTTATTGGCCTGATCTAAGATTGTGAAGCTTTCTCTGTTTGACATAGATTTACACTTAGGATTGCCGTTGATATGTTTGAATTTTTATCTGATACTAAGTGTTCATTAATCCTGATGAAAAATTGGCGAGACGTTTCACCAATGTAAGCGGCATTACAGCCCCCACAACTAAATTTATATACTATGTTGGATTTAGGTTACTTGGTATGTTATCCTTGTTGTTAAGGTAATTTCCTACTTTTTTAAAATTAAATACAATGTTTATTTCTAAATCTTTGCAGTATTTTGTGGCTAATTTATTTATTTTTTCTTTAGTTATCTTATTGGACCTATGAACGGGAGTTTAAAATAAAATGCATTCTCGGATGTCTTTTGTATTTTAAAAAAAGTTAATAAAAGAACTAGATTTGAACTCGTCACTGAGGACGAGTTTGGTGATCTGCCGCACTTCGACCCTCAGGAAACGCGAGTGGTGCGAATTGAAATGTTTTAAAATTCTCAAAATGGCCTAAAATATGCTCTAGTTTTTTAAAAAGTTCAATTTTAAACATTTGAAATTGAACTTTTTAAAAAAGTTCAATTTTAAACATTTGAAAAGATTTATGCTTACGTACGCGGACGTGTTGACACCTGTGCGCATGTTAATGGCACAAAAAGTTTACTCCTGATATATGAATACAGTGTCAGGAACCCAAAATATGTAACAAAACATAATTTCCAGCTTTAGTACGTGCTGTGCGTGTAAATTATGGAAAGTTTTGTAATGCTGAAAATGTCCTGAAACGTGCTTTAAATTATCTGAAAAGTGTGCGTGGTCAGAACGTGTGCATGGACGGTAATGGCACACGAAATTTAACCGTGTCAAGTGTAATTTAAAAAGGCCTGTTAGTTGGTAATGCCACACAAATTTTCCCTTCATATGGCTATATATCAGTCTAAAAGCATCAAAATACAGTCTGCCGCCCTCTGTCGTCAATGATTTTTGACAAATTGTAAGAAAGAGAGATGAGGGCTCCAAAAATTCATTCTTTTTTACCATGATGACGTGGTCAAAATGAAAAATAAAGGGACACTTCCGAAAGAGAATTGTCTCAGCTATACCATACTCACAGCTGAGAGACGATCAACCAAGAATAAACGAGATACGTTCAAACGATTATAAAAATAATGTCATAAATAAAAATTCAGTTTTTTCTTAATTCAGATGGCAATATGATGACGTCACAATGTCCGATCAGACATAATGATCTATAAAATCATATCTACAACTCATGTGCTTTCAGAATATACACTAATAAAAATTGGGGGTCACCTTTCTTCCTAAAGAGCTATATGATTTTTAAGGATACCTGTATATTACTTTTGGCGTACGCGCACATTATTGATGTATGCACAGAAAATTAAGATACATGGCATTCAACCTTGATCTGTTATACTTAATATGATTCAGAAATGACGACTGGTTAAGATGATTATATTGTCATCAAAGTTTTGAGGAAATAAAGATGAAGGGGTCAGAAAAAACATTTATTTTGACCATGATGATATCATAAAAATGTAAAAAGAAGTCATATATATGAAAGAGGATTGTCTTAGCTAGAAGATACTCAAAGTTGGGAGACGATCAATCAAGGATAAGCGAGATACGCTTAAGTGCGTATTTTTAAAAATGACGTCATAGATAAAATTCAGTTTTTTTTAAATACAGTAGGCAATATGATGACCTCACAATGTCCAATCAGCCATTATGATTTATAAATTCATATTTACAACTCATGTGCTTTCAGAATATATAATAAAAAATGAGGGTCACCTTTCATCCTAAGGAGCTATAACAAGCATAAAATAGGCCTGATTTTAGCATAATTTCACTGTATAATGGCACAAATAGTGCGCAAAGATCCCTATGTTTGATGCATGCGTACAGCATTGCTATTGGGCATAAGATAACTGAAAAGAATGCAAATTTGTGAAAACAATGTCAGGAACCCAAAATATGTAGATAAAAAACATAATTTCAAGCTTCCGTACATGCTGCGTGCGTACAAATGCATACGCACGCGTTATGACTCAAAATATTTTGGTACATGATATTCCACCTTGACCGAAAGTTTATGAATGAGAAATGACAATTGGTTAGGATAAGATCGATAATGTAAAAACGCAAAGTTGCACGAAAGTGACGTCATGCATGACTGAGCACATTAAAAACCTTATCGTGACAATTCCAGGCCAAGCCAAATGTTCCTTGAAGCAAGCATGTGCGTAGCTCACTGCAATTTTGAGATATGTAGAGTAAAAAGAAGAAAAAGATCTCTGACAATGACGAGTTAATCCGCTAGGGAAGCGGATCACCAAATAGAGAATGTTTTGCTTTTTAATAGTAGATACCCAAATAATGAATATCAACGGTTTTCTTTCACATAACATGGACAATTACCAAAATATATACACGTATACAGTACATAAATATTTTTTGTGTAGTTACTTACAAATGCTATTTTCATTGAATATTTATCTTCTTTCTTGCAGATTTATCCTGATTTTGCCGGACGAAAAGAGATCCGATTGCTGAAAGTGAAATGCCTAAATTCAAGCTGTCCCTTTGAAGGAAACCTTAATGAATACATTACAGTGAGTTAAAACGATTTGTGTTAAATTAAAATCTAGTGTATTTATAAATGACAGGTTTCATACAAACAACTGTAGTTTTATGAAAATGAAAGACAACACCTAAAATTTAGACTACGTTTCAAATAACTGGAAATTGACATAGGAATTATAGAAAATTTAAATTATTTCTTGTGTCTATTTTTAGAACCATCAAAACATATGCCCCCATGCTAAAGTACCATGCACAGCCTGTGACAGACAGATGAAACTTGTGGAATTGCAGAATCACCGTTTGCGTGATTGTACAGAGCGTACAATAACGTGTCGCTGGTGCAATGCCGAGTTGGTTCACAAGACCATGAAGGTTTGTTATACTGTACTAATATTCTTTTTTGTAAATTTCTAAATATGATTGTCTGATTTTTTTTTGGTCTTGTCTCATTTTGTGTAGGTTTTATGGTTTTATTGAAAAAGGCATATACCACTATTGTCAATTTCTATTAAATCATTATATTAATCATATCTACTTCTTAAAGATTTAAGCAACTAACAAAACACATTTTTAATAATAAAATTAAACCTATAAAGTATTTTCTTTTTTTAGCAACACAATAGTGTTTGCCCTAAGCTGGAGATTCTGTGTGAAATTTGCAAGAAGTCTAAATTACCAAGAGAAGAGGTTTGTTCATTCTCTATTGTTTCAATAGAACATATTTTTCATAGTACAATTATTCTAATTTTCATATTAAAATTATTTATGTCTCTATAATTATTATTAGGTCTACTTTTGTACTATGAATTTTGTAGTTTTTAATCTAAGTACGTTTTGTTTACATCCGAAGATGAAGTTACACCAAGATCCAGAGAATGGAGACTGCCCTCGGCGTAAAAGATGTTGCAAATTTCGAATGGTTGGCTGCGAGTTCACGGTAAGTATTCAATATGCACATTTTATTTATAATACATCAATTAATAAGTGAGAGAAAAAATAAATTTATCCATTCCCACATGTACAGTACATTTTTTCTTGGAAATGGAAAATCTAAAATTTTAGATTATAGTGGCAATTTTTATAAATAACTTATATTAATGTTATATTAATATTACAACGAAATGCTATAGTTCAATATTTGGTCAGGTGGGTTAGGCCCACTCAACGATTTTAGTGTGTGGGCCAACCTTCTTGTAGGCCCCACCAATAATTTGCCAAAAAAAAGTTATGAATATTGATTTTAACTAAATAACAGACGATGGATTACCTGTCGGCTGTTGTTTGTGATTGGAAGGTATAGGATATTACGTTGCAAAAAAAATCACCAAAATGACCATCAGAATATAAAAAATGCTATTTTTCTTTTCCCTTGTCCTATCCACCTCTCTGGCCCCAGCCTCAGTTTCCCACTTCATCACAGAGTGCTTATTAGGCCCACCCGAAGTTTAAACCGCACTGCTGCCTATGATCACAAAGTATCCTATGATTAGTGAACGACTAAGTAGAAACTAAAAAATGAGTTTCTACATTAATGCTTCCAAGCTTTTGGTGTAATTTAAATGTTGAAAAAAAAATGTATTCATATAAAAACTAATTAAATGTATCTGCTAAATATATTACCTACGGGATTAAAACCATCTGATATATCATTCATCCATTTTTTCACCATTTTTCTAGGCACCACAGGAGCAGATACCAGGGCACTTGAAGAACAATCTACAAGAACACCTAAATTTGATGAATTTATAAGGTTGAATATCATAGAAAAAGGTACAAAATACAGTACATTGGATATAAAAAATAAGAAATAGTTAAATTGCAATTTTGACTTACAGAAATGAAAATTGTTTTAATAGAAAAAGTGATTTTCCAAAACATGCTTTCAACCTTTTGGTATAATATAAATTTTGAAAATAAAAATATATTCATACAAAAATTTCTTAAATGTATCTGCTAAATACATTACATATATCATTCACTTATTTTCATTTTCTTTCTAGGCACCACAGGAGCAGATGCCGGGGCACTTAAAGAACAATGTACAAGAACACCTAAATTTGATGATGGGAGATTACATCATTGTCAAAAAACAACTAGAAGCTGCTCATGAAAAATTGAAAGATTACCAGTCTATGGATATGACAGATAGTGGAAAGAGTAATAGTAGTGTTGATTCGGATGAAATAGTTCAGAAGGTTGTAAAGGAGTTGAAAAGGAATGAAGGTAAATTAGAATTTAATGGAGTACCAAAATCAAAAGATGATGTAGAAGTAGATGCTTTCAAATCAATTGACATCAATCCTGGTGGAGCTAAAAATGGTGCAAGAAGGAAAATAATTAATACAAACCAAGGCAGCATTTTAAAGGAAGGTAAAACAGATACTGGAGTAGGTAGCACCAATGAGATTACTGAGCTGAAAACCATCATAAATCTTAACAGCCAAAAAATTAAATCCTTGCAGCTAAATCAAGGTGTGCTGGCAAAGAAAAATGAGGTCTTTCATGATGTCATTGATGTCCTTAATACTGAAATGGATAAAACTGGTCAAAAGATAGTTGAAACCCTTCAAGAGGTTGAACAGTTGAAAGTATCAGAACGGGAAACAGAAAAACATCTGAAAGCAGTCGAACAAGCATCTGCTTTAAAAGACGTCACAATAACAGAGCATTTTCTTCAGATTCAAAGCCTAGAGAATACTGCATATGGAGGAATACTATTGTGGAAGATCACGAACTTCAGTCAGAAAAGAAGGGATGCCATCAGTGGCAAACAGACATCACTCTACTCACCATACTTCTTTACAAGTCGCTATGGTTATCGTGTTTGTTGCAGGATTTATCTAAATGGTGATGGCATGGGAAGAGGCACTCACATCTCCATATTTTTTGTCATCATGAAGGGTAAATATGATGCTCTTCTGCAGTGGCCATTCCGTCAGAAAGTAAACTTCGTCTTGCTGGACCAGAACAACAGGGAACATGTTGTTGATGGATTCCGACCAGATGACAAGAGTAGCTCTTTCCGTCGACCAACCACAGATATGAATATTGCATCTGGTTGTCCTCTGTTTATTTCAATGGCAGAGCTTGAAGCCAGCCCTAATGCATACATCAAGGATGACACAATGTTTGTTAAAGTTATTGTTGATATGTCTGAGGTGAAGTCCTCCCATCATGGAGGTGGTCAGTTCTAAATTATTAGGTAGCAAAAGCACATACATGGTGCCTTGTTACACAATTAATTGTACTGCAAACGAAGAGAGAAGCTGAAGCTCCCTCAAACTTAGTGGCCTCTGCCTGATTTTGTTACTCAGTTGTATGTGGAGGAATAATGTGTAGTTATGGCAACTTATCTAATGGAAATGTAAACATTTATCTAAATTTTGAAATTGTTTTGCTTAAGAATTTTGCTAATTTAAAAACTTATCATGGATTGTCCATGATAATATCCTAAAATAGCAAAATATCTTCAAACTTATTCTTAAAGTGAATAAGGAAAGTCCCAACTTTTGAGTTGTTTGTATAGCATTTCTTTGGGGTGTGTGTTTGGCTGAGAAGTAATGTTCTTGTTTCAAACCCTTCTTGGGTCTGTTTTTAATTCCAGTCTAGTCACTCGTCTCCTCAGATAACCCTCACATTGACAATTAGGTGGATTAATGAAAATGTTTGTTCATGTTGTAGTTAAGATGGGTGGCACTGCACTGTGGTAGTTTTGGGTCCCCAAAAAGGCTCCATCATAAATTTCTAATTGAATGTTGACAAATAATCAATAATAACTATTATTATTATAACATTATTATTGTTGTTGCTGAAGGCAGTAAATCTACTTGAAAACAAGAAGATTCAGTTATATGTTAATGCACTGAATTTTTTTTCATTTTCTCAACTCTCTCTGTACTAAGTACCGTGAAGAGGTGAGAGAGCTTAAGGGCACATTCATATTTACAACAATAAACATATTCATAACATGCCCTATCAATGTACAGTAATAAACATATAAATTAAAATGGGGAGCTGGGGTGGTTTTACAATTTATCTTTATTGTATAAGCTTTAAGAAAATCCCTAAATTTATAATTATAAAAGGAAAACAAAAATTGATTGAGAAAAAGAAATAAGTGAAAAATACATAATATATACATTAATTGTTAATATAAACATTGATGGATAGTAATGCAAGATTGAGAAGAACACTTTTTTTTCCCACCTTTGTAATTGTGTACAGTGAGTTTTTTAGACCCACTAATACTAAATAATTTAGACAAAACTAACAGTAATGCTGTACACATCAGCATTGAATACACAACACTACAAGTTTCTGTATTTTTATCCTATGAAGTTTAATATGTTAATATAAACTACCCCAAACATTTGATAGAGCATAATTATGATACTGTACATACCACCAAAGAGTATAAATATTTGTACTCTCTGATACCACATAGTCTTGACCTAACTAATGTACTTGCCTTATCATTATAAGCAAAAATACAAAAGAATGTGTCTGAACAAAAACTTAGTTAATATACAATAATAATAGTAATAATAATATTTAAATCTTTATTTAGCGCATTTTGCTAAAAGCCTTTGCATTAGAAATGAAAATCCAGAATTAAGCAAAATATGAATAAGAAAGATGTGTTTTTAGTTGTTTGAATGTCTAATAAATGACCATACTGTACATTAAAACTCAACCGTGTTTTTTTTAAATTTTAGACATACATACATACATACATAAATACATACATACATACAGACAGATACATGTACATACATACATACTGTATATATAATGCTCATGCTTAAAGAATAGATTTTAACTGTTTTTAATAGCTGGTTGAATTTAGTTACTTGAATATTATAGATACAACAATGGTGGCAGAAATATAGACTTAAAAATAAACATATATATTATATATATATAAAACAGAATTGTTTTGTACTACTTTGATTGGTTATGGATTTTTAACTTAACTATGTAGTGGTGTAGCTTATGAAGATATTTGTCTGTTGTTTTGTTTTTTCTAGTAAGCTTCTGATAAAACATATTTTGTATGCATTGTGTGTGATTCAGCAGTAAACCAGGAGACAATCCTCTACTCTTTTCCGAAGTGTGTACGCTGCGTTCTTTAACGTGCAGATGGACCATTAATGCACACAGGACCATCGGCTTAAACGTCTCATCCGAAGGACGGTGCGCTATTGTAACTTGTATTTCAGCCTTCTAGCTGAAACACAAGGAGAAGCAGCGATGGGAATTGAACCGGTTACCTAGAGATTACACAGTGGCTACAACCAGATTAGCTTACCTTTTTTTTTCAAATTTTTTAGATTTTTAGCTTCAGTATCCTGCGTTTTTGGTTTACTGTACCTGTGTTATGGTTAATAAATCATAATGTTTTAAAATCATTATAAAACAGTGGTTGGTCAACAATTTTTTAAAATTTTTTTTTGTGGTGTGTTATTTTGTCTTTAAAAATTAAAAGTGATTTAAATTCTATAACAGGGCATAATAGATTTGTATAGCACGAACAGGAAGAGGCTATATACAATATTTAATAAAAATGTGCAGACAAAAGTCAAGCAATACCTTATTGCTTCGCATGGTAATACAGATTGTTGTAATAAATACAGTACCGTACTCGCGCGAATTAAAATATTTGTTGCAGTTTCTGAGGAGCGCTTATTCAAACGGGGCGCTTATGAAAACAGTGGAAATTGAGGGGGCGCTTATGGAAATAGATGAAAATCGAGGGGTTCTTATGGGAAATTATTTTAATAGGCCTAATTAAAAATTCAAGAGGCACTTTTTGAATAAAAAAAAGATTATATAAGGACATTACGAATGGTGGTTAGAAAAGATAATCGTCCAGAGAATAACAGCAAAATAGCAGATGCAATTAGTGGTGGGTAGTAGCTAGCTTGTTGCCCATCGGCATTGAGATTAGCAGGATGGCAGGATCATTGTATTTTTCTTGAAAACTCAGATGAGAATGTGCTTAAGGTCGAAAAAAGAAAAAGAGGAGTAGGACTAGACAGACAAATACTGTATGTAAAAAAGATTAAAGTTGGAAATATACTGTCTGTCCAGGGATCGGAGCTCTCATCTGTCCAGGGATCGGAGCTCTCATCTCTCCAAGAGAAATATCCTCATTTTGATATTGACTAAAGAAGAACGTGTTTTCACTCTACAGCTCAAATCATGCCAAACAACCACAGTCCCAAGATTGATTGGATTATTGACTTGCTAAAAAGAAAATCTTATGAGGGGGTGCTTATTCAAATTAGAAGGGGCGCTTATTCAAACTGGGCGGTTAAGTAAATTTTCACGTTAGGAGGGGCGCTTATTCGCGCGAGTACGGTACTTGGCTTCAGTGTATGTATACATGGTACAGTCATATCACGTTTACATTGATGGATCTGTCTACCTTTCAATGGTCGTGGACCGATAAACCTCTTTAGTGTATGGCAGCATTTTTAGAAGAAAAAAATTATAATAGAGTTATCTCTTTGCGAAATATAACTTTAAACTGCATCCTCCACATATGTGCTCAGAAATGAAAATTTGTAGTCTTTAATTTTTCTTAGTGTTGAAATGCGAGCTCCAAAGAGGTCACAGCGTATATGGCCTGAAGTCGTTCTAGAATGTAGTTTCCGCAGTAGAGTACAGTAGGCCTACTGGGTGTAATTTGACTTTGGTTAATATCTTATTGAAATATCCTAAGGTTTTTTTTGACCGAGTGCCGAGGGCTCCAGAGCTCATGTGTTGCACTGTTGGTGGTTTCACAATTGGTTAGAGGTTTTTCTGCCTTCTACACCTGGGACTCCATTGTATTCTAACCTCTGGGGCCTGTGCATTTTTTATGCACTTTTTTCGCACTACTGTACCTATTAACTGTTGCAATGTAACATTTGCATTACTGTATTTATGATAGGCTTATTTATACTTTTTAGAACATGAACGGAGAAATGGGTTATTCTCATGCATTACCAATCAGGGTAATTTTTTTTTTTTTTTAGTTTCTATTCATACTAGTCAGGCCCGTAGCCAGGGGGGTTTTTATGGTTCGGGCGAACCCCCCTTTTCTAGCGAACCCCCTCAAATTTTTGAATGAGTCCCACTCGGACGGAATGTCTGTTTTTAACTTACCCAGCATTAAATCAAAATTTAGCACCTAATTCATTATTTAGTGACCCGTTTTTAAATTCTAGCCTGCGATACAAGCCTTCATTCATAGAATATCTCAGCTTCAGAACTCCGGCAAACCATGAATTTACGATGGCTTACATATAAGGACGGCAAACATCGATAAAAACCCGGCTCCCGTCTCAGCTTTGACTGGCCTTTGCCTGAATGTTTGTAAGAATGTACCAACCGGTAACGAAACTGGTCACCGTCTACCTAGAGTAAATGGCGCCACTAAACGAATCTAAAGTTTTGCGACTTAATCCACCAAATGCAGCTAAAGTTTTGCGACTTAATCACCTGATTCTGGACTGTGTGGTTAGTAAATTCCATAGCCATACTGTCCACAGTGCACACTAACCTATTTGCTGATGGAGCATTTTTGGGAAATTGACTCCTTTTTTCCATCCCAACAAAATATTATTAATAAGTCAACATGGTCCATCTCAGTCATCATAGCCAGTCACAAAATTAGGAAGGTTGTTTTCAACAGCAGACACACACACAACAGAACGGAGTGCGTCAAAACGAGTGTTTGT